GGCACAGCCCATTTCTTCAGATTATTTGGTGTTCCTCTGTCTTAAAAAGTTTAAGAAACACTGATATACAGGGTTTCCAGTTTCCAGCTCCCAGCTCCCCCGCTGCCTTCTCATCATCAAGAGCTGGGCTGAGCCTGGGTCTCTCTCAAAATATTGAGCAACATCCATGTGACTAGCAAAATGGAGTTTCTGCCAGGTCTAACCAGATTTCTGCATATAGATGGCCTGCTGCCTGCATAAATGCCACCCCCACACACTCTGATTAGTTTTCCTTACTAAATATCAGCTCTCTGAGTGGTATCCTTTCTGTCTTAGGAATCTATTTACTGACTTCAATTTTTATCTGCTTAGGTTTAAGTACCCATTCTCCAGATATTTAATGATGCTCTGTCTCCCACCCTCCCTCCCTTTTTCTTTCTTTCCTCCTCCCCTTCCCCTCTCCTATTTATTTCAAGTTTTCATATCCCAAACTCATTACTCCAGTCATCTGAAGAAGTGGGCTGTGCCCACGAAAGCTCATGATACCATCTACATGTTTTGTTAGTCTATAAAGTGCTACCAGACCATTTGTTGTTGTTTTTTCTGTAACAGACTAACTCGGCTACCCCCTGAAGCTCCAGCATTATATGTGAGATACACTGGTCAATTTGATCTCGCCGGGTTTTTTTAAATTGGTTTTAAAATTGGTTGACTTTGTCTCTACCCATGCTGTAGTTGAAATCATGTGACCAAAACCACATTTAAACAGTTTATTGCAGTGGTCCCCAACCTTCTGGGGCTACCAGGCTGGCAGGGGTGGGGCCCCGGGGCCCGGGGTGCAAGAATGGCTCAGGCAGGCCCTGGTCACTAGGCAGGCGCGCACAAATGCCCCGGCGGGGGCCATGGCGCCCATGGGCACCATGTTGGGGATCACTGGTATTGCTTATTAAGGTACTCATAGTTTCCCCCACTGGTTTGTACTGTGATTCTTTTTCTGAGAACAGAGTTCTTTTTAGTCTTATTTAAATCATGACATCAGCTTTGTAGATAGATAGGGGCTTTCAGAATTCCACTTACACCAGCATTGTGAGACCTGCTTAGAACCCTGTTCTCTCCTATCCTGGTAAAATGTAGTTATATTTTTAGTGTAGATGATGCTTAACTCTGCCCCTGACCCAAGTCTGGACATAGAATCATAGAATAATAGATCCAGAAGGAACTTCAAGAGGTCATTAAAGTCCAGTTCCCTGCACTCACAGCAGAATCAAGCACTGTCTAGATTAAGGATATAAGTGACTCGTCAAGGCACTACTTGATACTCTGTATCAGAGACAGTGAGCGGGTGGAACAGCGCTGGGGGGAGCCAGCTTAAAAGCCAGTTTCCCCCAGCACCATCTCTGCTGGAGGAGGGTAGGGGAAGCAGAGGGGCTGTGGGGAACCCAGCACAAGCTGGGACTGGGCAGTCTTGGCTCACACCAGGTCCCAGATGCTGTGCCTCTGCTTTTTAAATGTAGTAAGAGCCCCTGGTGGCTCTTACTACGTTTAAAAATCAGAGCTGCAGCATACCCTCTTATCGACTAATCAAGTAGTCGATGGAAGTTCCATTGACTACTAGATTAGCTTACTTCCCGCTATTTAGCATCCCTAGTCTCCCTACACCTTATCTGACAAGCGTCTTACATCTCTAAGGGCATTATAATATTGATATGTTCAAGGTTTTAGCACAGTCTGGAAACAAACTTACTGCATGGGCCCATCTAGCCGATAAAACAGAAACATGTAACTTATTCCCCTGGCCTGACTGTCATAAGAACGGCCGTACTGGGTCAGACCAAAGGTCCATCTAGCCCAGTAGCCTGTCTGCTGACAGTGGCCAACACCAGGTGCCCCAGAGAGGGTGGACCGAAGACAATGATCAAGCGATTTGTTTCCTGCCATCCCTCTCCAGCCTCTGACAAACAGAGGCCAGGGACACCATTTCTATCCCCTGGCTGATCCTCTCCAGCCTTTGACAAACAGAGGCCAAGGACACCATTTTATCCCCTGGCTAATAGCCTTTTATGGACCTAACCTCCATGAAATTATCTAGCTTCTCTTTAAACTCTATTATAGTCCTAGCCTTCACAGCCTCCTCTGGCAAGGAGTTCCACAGGTTGACTACACACTGTGTGAAGAAGAACTTTCTTTTATTAGTTTTAAATCTGGTACCCATTAACTTCATTTGGTGTCTTCTAGTTCTTCCATTGTGGGAATTAATAAATAACTTTTCTTTATTTGCCTGCTCCACACCACTCATGATTTTATATACCTCTAGCATATCCCCCCTCTATTCTAAACTGAAAAGTTCCAGTCGTTTTAACCTCTCTTCATATGGGACCCGTTCCAAACCCCTAATCATTTTTGTTGCCCTTTTCTGAACCCTTTCCAAGGCCAAAATATCTTTTTTTGAGGTGAGGAGACCACATCTGTACACAGTATTCAAGATGTGGGCCTACCATAGTTTTATACAGGGGCAGTAAAATATTCTGTGTCTTATTTTCTATCCCTTTCTTAATAATTCCTAGCATCCTATTTGCCTTTTTTGACCACCGCTGCACACTGTGTGGAAGTTTTCAGAGAACTATCCATGATAACTCCAAGATCTCTCTCCTGATTTGTCATAACCAAATTAGTCCCCATCATACTGTATGTCATTATAGTATTGCTAGTCCATTAGTCTCTGGATCTACATATACTCTTATAATTTATTTGTATAACACCACAAAGCATGCTAAAGGCTTTGCAGGCAGATAAGAAGGGAAAGGTTTTGCCTCAATTTCTTATCTAAATAAGCAATATAGAAACAATAGTATAGGGCATGGGAATAGAGTATAAAAAAAAGCAATGGAGTTGTCTTGTGATATTGTGCACACTGTTGGCCCACCCACACCTATCACACTGCTTGGAGCCCTGATTTTATCAGTGCATTCTTAGAAGGCTGAGTAGCTCTTCCATGCTGCTTCAGCTGCAAGTGCCTGTGGCAAAGGATTGTCAGTTTTGAAGGTGTTATAAAAACACCTTCAAACTGTGGGCGTAGAGTTGAAAACTGTCATGATCATGAGTGTTAGCCAGCATCCTGGGGACTAAGGGGTTAACTATATCCATTACCTAAACCAGATGGCAGGCAGCCAATAGAAATGTAGGTAGGAATTTCAAACTGGGACAAACTATTTTTTGGTTTTTTTTTATCCTAGTTACAGACTGTGAAGAGTATTTTCTAAGGCTATGTCTACACTGCACCCCTTTTCCGGAAAAGGGATGCAGATTAGACACTTTGGAATTGCAAATGCCGCGGGGGATTTAAATATCCCCCGCGGCATTTGTATTTACATGGCTGCTGCTTTTTTCCAGGCTCGGGGTTTTGCCGGAGAAAAGCGCCAGTCTAGACGCGATTTTCCGGAGAATAAACCCTTTTCCAGAGGATCCCTTATTCCTACTTGAAAGTACTTGAAAGTAGGAATAAGGGATCCTCCGGAAAAGTGTTTATTCTCCGGAAAATCGCGTCTAGACTGGCGCTTTTCTCCGGCAAAACCCCGAGCCTGGAAAAAAGCAGCAGCCATGTAAATACAAATGCCGCGGGGGATATTTAAATCCCCCGCGGCATTTGCAATTCCAAAGTGTCTAATCTGCATCCCTTTTCCGGAAAAGGGGTGCAGTGTAGACATAGCCTTAGAAAATACTCTTCACAGTCTGTAACTAGGATAAAGTTTAGATAAATCCATTAGGTTTTATTGTTTTATGGTTTGGGAAATAGGATCTGATGTCTGTGCATTTAAAAATGGGTTTTGCACTCCTTTGTAACTAAGCCCTTGGCCCATGGTAAATTTCTCCTCCATTAATATATTATTTTGTTACTTTTCCATCTAGTCATTATGCTTGCAACAGGAATATTGTGGTGATAATAAAAGTTCTTTCTCTTTCCTTTTATTAACCTGGTATTGGGTAATGGTTGTGTCCTGGTTTGTACTTTAGGGGTGAGTTTTCCCAAGTGATCTTTCTCCTGATTTTTGTACCAATACGTGGGTGGTAGCAGTGGAGTTTTTATTCCCAACGTCTAAGTTGTTAAGATTTTGGGGGAAGTTTTATACCAAAGCCTGGTAGATAAAGTTTTGGGGTAATTTTGCTGGCCCCCACTTTTGCATTTATCATGCCAGAGTGGGGAAGGAGCCATGACAGCAACAACGGTAGTGAAAGGTACCAAATTGATAACTGTGGACTGTAATGAATCTTTTGATGTTCTCCGGTAGGAGGATCGGCAAACCTGCTTCGTGGATATAATTAGACAGTGCTCTCCACATGGCAGCAATACCAGTATTATAACTTGGTTACAAGCTGATAATTGTACTACAGCTCTGGTCATGAACAAGGTCAAAACACAATTCACCTCACCTGGTCATTTTTGGAATCATGAGTGACATTCTGGCCCTGTTGAAGTCAATGGGAGTTTTGCCTATGTGTTAACCATCTGAAAGTACAAAGTCAACTGTGTTGCAACCTTCATAAAATCTCAGTAAAAGTCTGTAATGTAGGTGGGCTTAATAGCACAAATTTACTAACATGGTTTTGTATTGAGAAAAAACTCTATGATCACAAGTCAGGAAAATTGCTAGAGCTGTACTAACAACATCCATGTCTAAACAAGGTTGCATGTAGCACAGGAATACTGGCAGATCTTTTGACCCAAGGAGCAGGTCTGTATAGTGGAAATAAATTTTATTTTAAAAATTGATTTCTACTAATTGAGTTTAGCCCTAAAGTAATGCAATCTTAGCAAATGCTGTGTCTGCCTGTACATTACCAGTATACAGAGCATTACCTCCTCATGAGTCATGGTTATAAGTGAAAACTGAAACTCCATTGCAAATCTGGAGAGAACTACTTGTTCAATGACATGTGAAATGACCATCAATAAAGTCAAGGAGGAATTCAAGATCAGCTACTCAGAATGTTCAAATTATCCCTGTGCTTTCTCTGTCTCTAAGGGGAAAAGGAAGAACCAGATATCACTCAGGATTCTGAAAATGATCACAAGGGCCCTGTGGTAGCAGTGGATGCCTGCAAGACCCTCTCTCTCTTTCTAAGCTGTGGGTATGTGAAGCACTGAACATCATCTTATTTATATGGTAATCAGATGGGTTTTATGCGGGGTGGAAGCTCAACATATATCTGTGAAATGTATGAAACCTTATCATTTGGCTGATAATATTTCACACTCTTATAGCTGGTGCAATAGGTTTTCCATGCAATAAACTCAAGCTTGGTAACATCACTTTGGTTTTAGTATTGCTGTTAAATTATGCATGATTAGAACCTTTCCCAGGAGAGATGCTGAGAGTACCACTTATGGACAAAATGGACCAAATTCAACCCAGCTTTCAATATAGCAAGTATCTAGGAAAATCAGTGTAGGTAGAACTGAGGGAGGATCGGAACAATGTGGGAGTGGGATTTCAAACATAACCAAACTAATTGAAGGGAGCAGCTGAATAACCCCATATACATTGTCAATGGAAATTTCTTGTGCAAGCTAAGCTATTGTTTAAAAGAAATAAAATATAAAGAAATTTCACAAGTATTGGTGGGTTTCAATTCAGTTCCTATTGGCCAACATAAAACCTGCCTTCACATTTAGTAATTAATTGGAATCTTTGGCAGTGTTAAAAGAGACATCAAAAGCTGACAATGAATGCAGAGATAGAACGCTCTTCTTTCCTTTAGAGGCAAATTCTTCAGAAGAAGGAATGAGTTTTACTGAATGGGCCACATTTGGAGGAGTTTGCATGGCAGCTGTCTGTGTAAAATACCAATTGTGTGGTTATTCAGTTGCCTTCAGACATCAGAACGTTCAGTTATCTAAAGTAAATTTTCTCTTAAAAAAATCTGTTGGAATTAAACCCATTCTCGGGCTATGTCTACACTAATGTGCTTTATCAGAAAAAGGTATGCAAATTGCGCTCCACAATTTGCATACCTTTTCCGATAGTTTTTTTGGAAGAGGCTTTTCTAAAATTTGGCCCATCTACACTGGGTCAAATTTCAGAAAAAAACCCTCTTTTGGAAGACCCCTTCTTCCTCATGGGAGGAGGAAGACAGAGCTTCCGAAAGAGCGCATCTGCTCTTCCACCAAAAAAAAGTGGAAGAGCAGATGCGTTCCTTGGACATGGAGAAGTTTTTCTGGGAAAACCCCATAGTCGAGACATAGCCTCAGAAACAGAGGAAGGGCTTATTCCTCATTAACTTTCTAGATTGTCTTTGATGCTGAAGGTGCTATACTAGATAAATTCTCTCACTGCATAAAAGGCCTTATGATAAAATGTTGCTCCTTTCTGAACTCTGAAAGTCTTTGCTTTTGGAGAGTTAATTTGGTTATTATTAGTTAAAGAAATCTACTTTGTGTTAGGAATAAAATTACAGGGTAACCAAGAATTTCTCTCCTTATGTGTTCTTACTGAATCTACAGGGTAAAAATTTTGCCAGATGAAACCTATGCACCTTTTATGTTCCACTGAAATCCTATTTTCATGATTTAGTGAGATTTAAAGGGTGCACAGACCTGATACTGGCCCTCTGTGCAAGGGAGGAATTCACCTACAGAGAATTATAAAAATTTGTATTAAGACTATTTGATAAGAAAGTTTCTGATCTCTTTATTTTCCAGTGCTGATTACATGGTGAAACTCTGGGATATTCATAAAAATTTGTTGGCCAACATTCTGCTTGATAGCACTCTCAGCTCTGCTTGTTTCCTGAACGATTCTGGAGATATTTTAGTGGGTTTCAAAAATAATCTCTATATCTTGCCTCATAGTAAGGCACTGGGTATCTCAGTGACAGATACAGATATTTCTGGAATCTCAACAACAGGTATGACATTAGGCAATCTTATGTGGATACATTTACTCTCTTGTTAGGAATCAGGTATTTTAATCATTTGTTATGATTTTCATGTTTGTTATGATTGTTATGATTTTAAAATATATTGCACCATATTAACTATGAACAGTGCTTTAATAAAAGGGCCAGTCATGATGATAATTTAGGTTGCAGTTAGATTCCAATCTAATTTTGTATCAGAGGGGTAGCTGTGTTAGTCTGGATCTGCAAAAGTGACAAGGAGTCCTGTGGCACTTTATAGACTAACAGATGTATTGGAGCATAAGCTTTCGTGGGCAAAGACCCACTTTGTCAGATGTATGTCATCTGATGAAGATGCATCTGACGAAGTGGTCTTTGCCCACAAAAGCTTTTGCTCCAATACATCTGTTAGTCATAAGGTGCCACAGGACTCCTTGTCACAATCTAACTTTGGGCACTTTACTGGGCATTGTTCTCCTTTATATGCTCTTATTTCAAAGTGACATACAGTATTTGCAAGTCAAAATGAATGCTTGACTACTTTTAAAAAGAAAATTATAAAGATCTTATTCTTAAAAGGCAAACCATCTTGGATCATTTAGTCCTTGATTTTACTTTTATAAAAACAATAGTTTTATAAATCTTAATATTATTTGAAATGTTGTCAAGATTTTTTCCACTTTTCAAATAATACACTTTTTTACTTTAATTTTTCCTTCAACATTTCCAACCAAATATAACAGCATTGTTTTAGTTGTGCACAGCATCCAGAAATGAATCCAGAAACAATTCAATCTATGTTCCATATTTGAGCTGAATGAATTCAAAGGATGAGTGAATGGTGGAGGGCAGGGGGAGGAGGCGGAAACACACCAGGCATCAATTGTAAAAGGTACACCCAGTTTGGGTATTTTTTTCATTCTTAAGTAATCTAAGATACAGTAACACAGATAAGGATATTATAATCTATTATATATTTTGAAGTGTTTATTTGTGGATTTGTTTTGTAAAATAAAGTCATACTTCAGGATTACCTACAAATACCAAATTTTGCATTGCCACTTAAATTAACTGAATGTACTACTTTTTACACTGGAGTATGCTGGGTGAAAGGTTTAAATAATTATTTTTGTTTTTTATCGAAAAAATCATAACTATTATGATTAGAATTCATAAAAATATTTGCTAACAAAATTAGAGTTTGTACTGTTACAAATCACAAAATAATTCAAATTAGTTACAGAAAGAGTAATGCTGAAACAAAAGACAGGACTATGCAGCACTTTATGGAAGCGTTAGGAGTTTCTGATTCAAGTTTACTATGTACGGTAATTATTTAACAAAATGAATAATATTTGAAGTTGAAATCCTACTAATTTAAAACTGTTCTTTTACTTCCCTTTGCAAGCACATTAATAACAATTCTATTACATATACTTAATTTCTTGAAAAAGCGGTGAGGAGTCCTGTGGCACCTTATAGACCAACTGAAGTGTTGGAGCATAAGCTTTCGTGGGCAAAGACCCACTTTGTCAGATGCATCTGACGAAGTGGGTCTTTGCCCACGAAAGCTTATGCTCCAACACTTCAGTTGGTCTATAAGGTGCCACAGGACTCCTCACCGCTTTTGCAGATTGAGACTAACACGGCTACCCCTCTGATACTTAATTTCTTGAACTTTCTTATAAGTGTAATCTACGCAAAATGACTTTGCCCTGTCAACAACAAGCTTCACTTGCTAGTATTATATATAACTTTTTTTCTTGTGATATTTTAATATCTTTACCAGAGTCTTTCATTTATGAAAACCAAGCTTTAAATTACCAAAAGGAAGGAAAAACTGATGTCTCCGAAGTCACTGACATGGACTCTTATCTGGTATGTTCTAATTGCTTGAACCCATACTGTTATCAAATACACAAGAGAAACCGATTCTGAATGAGCCATAACATTCATAGACAAAACATTAAACCAGTTCCACTGAAGAATTTCTGATACTAGCAGCAAAGTCTGTCATTATGTGCTAAATACACCGAAGAACAATAATTCTTGCCTCAGTTCCAGGATTAATGAAGATTCTTCTCTGACTTTCTATAGTAGGAAGTAGGTGATAGGAAAAGATACTGTGTAAAATCCAGAGCTGGAATATGGGTTTCCTAATAAGAAAATATTTCAGTTCCATTACTAGATTTATTGTTCCACTTTGTTTTACTTATAAACTTTACCTCAAAAAGTAGAGATGGTTGCATACTGCAGAAAAGTGAGCTGTTCCTATTATATAGGAAAGAAAATGTGTATAAGTTAGGCTGGGTGACTGAATTAGCACTTGAATGTGAACGCTCCAAATTTGATGGAGTTTATATTTCTGAACAGAACTCCTCTGCATGTATTATACCAAGTTTAGTATCATTCCTAATTTGTTCACCTCTCCCCATTTTTAACTGTTTGTACTTTCAGTCAACCTGCAAGTACTCTAAATGTATATGTGCCTTACTATTAAATATAGAATACAAAATTTCAATATTAAATGAAAGTTTTGCCAACATTTTCATTTCTTTTTTCAGTTTGCTATGGAGCTGATTAAAAAATCTAATTATGAAATTATTATCATTTTTTTCACTGAAATTTGGAATTTTGATGTAAGATGAAAGTGAAATTGTCATGAAAACTTTTTGGGGAAAATGGATTTTTTTAACCACCTCTAATACTGAGTAATATGCTTCTCACCATTTATTTAGTCAACTCTAAGATTTTATTCTGAAAACCATGGGCACAAATTCTTATATGTACATTTTCACAGCACTATAGTGACTAAGACCTTATAAATTGTAAATTTAAAAACCCCTGTCAAAAAAAACCAACATTCTGGCTCATAGTGGTATGGAAAATAAAATAACCACTTTTCCTGCAATTTAACCACATAGCAAGAATTCAGTTTTTCCTCTATATTTTTAGTTAATATGTCATAGTTGGTTCCTCTTCCTAATACAAATGACACAGAGACACACACAGAACTTTCCTGAGGGCATTTAGGTCTATGGTCCATTTGAGCTTCGCTTAAACCCATGACTGTTATATAGGTCTAGTGCCAATATTCTTCTCTGGATAGGGGTACATTTTACCCACTGAGGATAAATTCTTCCTCCAATGAGACTTTGCACCAATGGACCTCATACAGTGTTTTTGTTTGACACGGATGCCTGATGACTAGAAACACATCCATATGAGTAGCACCAAAAAGAACTGCTCACCAATCTGTTTGTATAGAAACATTTTTCTCACAGATTTATGATTGTTAGGCCTCAATTTTTTCTCATTCCTCTAGATGCCTTACATGGGATTTAATTTCACCAGTAACTTCACAGAATTGCTGGTTTCACCAACAGGTGGAGAAAAGGTTAGACTCAGTTAAATAGTTAAGTTTCTTTGAAATCTGAACATTGTGTTGGAAGTAAACATGTATTGAGCCATTTTGATTCCCTGAAGTTATATAAGCCTTTCTAAGAGCTTGTACACACTACCATTTATGGCAGTATAACTTATGTCACACTGGGATGTAAATAAGTCATCTCCATGAGCAATATAAGTTACACCAACTTAAGCACTGCACTATGTCTCCCATCAACATAAATACTGCTTTTTGGTGGAAGTGGTTTTATTATGCTATTTGGAGAGCTCTCAACTATCTACATAAAATATTTTAATCAGATATCCTACAGCAGCGTGACTATGCTACTTCTAGTCTAGACTAGTCCTAAAAGCAGAGCACGTGTCACCCCAAAAGGGTCACCATCAGCCTAAGTAGGACCCAAAATGTAAAGGAGGGTGTTCCACTGAGTTTATTGGGAAATTCATTAGTACAAGAATGTGAACCTACAACTAGTTCATTTAACAATTTATTACTTGTAAATCAAAGAAACATTGCTATCTGTGCATACTCTACTATCATCCTCCAGCTGCCCTGGAAGTTGCCGTTGGCCCCTTCACAGATTTATTGTTCTCCGAGTATCTCAGCGACTTCACTGAAGATATTTGACTTTCTATTCCAACCTGGACCCCTCAAGATAGATGAGCAAGATAAGGCAGAATGTAAAGGCTTTTTTTCCAATTCTATGTTTCGTATGCTTCTATTTATTCAAGAACTAAAGTAAATCTGGGTAGTATCCTAAACGCTGAACCAGATCCCCAGCTGCTGTGAACTGATGCAGCTTCATTGACTTTTTTGGTGCTAACCTGATTTTTACCAGCAGAGGGTCTGGCCCTATAGGCCAGATTTGCATAATTCCCTGTGCACGATGAGTCTGTTGTACACCCAAAATGCCCCAATCAAAGGGAGGTGCAAATGCTCATCACTTCTGAAAATAGTTTAAGGAGGAAGTAAAACCCCACTGCCATCACCTGAACATCTATCTATTATTAGATCCATAGTGAAGTTTTCAAAGGCACCTAAATGACATAGTTCCTAAGTCTCATTTTCAACAGTGATTTAGGCACATAGGAGCCCAAGTTCCATTAACTTTCACATACCCACAAATGCTAGTTCATGGAAGAGTTGGCTTCCTGGCTGCCCTTCCCTCCTGTAAAAATGCCAGAATGGAGGGGAGTGGGCAGCAAGTCATCCCTTAAATAAGTGTGTTGGTATTTAGAGAAGATAAACTGTCTTAGAGCTTCCTCTCCCTTCCCCCCCAAATAGCTGCCACTGAGTTGCCAGGGGAGTGAAGCCAATTAAGAGGAGGAAGCATGTGTCTGCACAAGGGAGGGACTATGGGGGAGCACCAGAGGTTCTCAGATGCCTTTATTAAGCATTCTGTCTTCTGAAATATTGAGTCAAACATCCTGAAATCCCTTCTTATTCTAATAAGACCTGTTTTCCACGTGTCAGAAAGCTTCCTCATAACATTTTCTTTTTAGAGTGTCATAACAAAGGGTATAACTAAAGCAGCCATTACTCTTTTCTCCCAGTGTCTGAAAGAATGATCCTGACTGATGATATGAAATACTTGCTTGGCCCCAGAACTACACGAGATGTGGATTTGGAAATTCCTGAGTTTGGAATCTCCCCCTGTTCCTCTCCTCACAGTGTATGTTCAGAGGCCCACCTTGAGGAAAAGGTTTGTATGAAACCATTTCATGCTGCTATACAGAGTCCAAAAGTAGGTCAGGTGTGACTACCCTCAACATAGTACCTACCTTTTTCAAGATGGAAAGGAAAAATAGTGATGGCTCAAGTGTATTTTGGCGGTCTCATTTTGAGGCCCCTTCTCAAATGCATTGATTAAACTCAGGACTTCTTACATACAGCCAGCATACTTAGAGTTCACAATAAATTTTACATAATTCTGTTTTACTATGCTGACACCTGCTGGAAGAATACTGAGCACAAGTAAATTGTGTGCCTGGGAATTTAGCCTGACTTGCATCTCATCAAGAATGCCTATTATTGCCGTGTACATTGCTATTACAGAAAGTAATTTGGGAATGTTTCTGGTTTAGTCCCTAAGATTACAGTTCAAGTGTAGATTACAGTTCAGAGTTTAGGAATATATGTTTAGGGGTTTTTTTCTTCTTCACAGCACTGGAATGCAACCACAAATACTCTAACTTTTTCACATAATGAATGTTAATGCAGTTTATACTGTTCATATTTTTAACAAAAAGTGGAACACATTTTGAAAGAGAATGTAGTTAAGGGCATAGAGGTGAACAGTAATTGCTATAAAATACAACATTATTTTACAAAAGGTATATCATGCCAGACAAGCCTGGTCTCCTTCTTTGAGAAGATAACTGAATTTTTAGAGAAAGGACATGCAATAGATCAAATGTACCTGAATTTCAGTAATGCATTTGATATGGTTCAACATGGGAAATTATTAGTTAAATTGGAGAATATGGGCATTAATATGAGAACTGAATGATGGACAACAAACTGGTTAAAGGGGAGACTATCACATGTCATCCTGAAAAGTGAATGGTGAGGATGGAGGGAGATTACGAGTGTAGTTCCTCAGGGACTGGTCTTGGGACCAATCCCATTTAACATTTTTATTTCTGATCTTGGCAAAAAAGTGGAAGTATGCTAATAAAATTTGCAGATGACACAAAGTTTGAAGATAATGCCAATATGGAGGGGGGCTGGAATATCATTCAGGAAGGTCTGGATGCCCATGTAAACTGTAGTAATAGAAATAGGATGAAATTTATAATGCAAGTTCATGCATATAGAAACAGTAACCGAGTGCACTCCTACCACCCTTTTCTGAGTGCCGGCTTCCCTCCAAAATCAGGCTCAGAGAGACCTCAGAGTTGTGCAACACCCATGTCTTTATTCACCTTAGCTCTTCCCACCACGAGTGCCAAACTACATACATTCTTTACAGGGTTTTCTCTTTTTACAGGCAGAGTCAGTCTTTTGCTAACAAGTCTTCAATGCCCTTTGTGACTGACCTCTCCCTCACAGCCTGCCCTGCTCTTTTCCAATTTGTATAGCTCTTGGCTCTGTCAGACTGGAAGGTAGCCAATCCTCAGGCATTTTCATCAGCACCAGTCTGTTCCCGTTGGTTGGAGCTGACAGGGCAGAGGTTAATTAGGTGCTGTTGTACCAGCACCATGTTACAGGGACTAACAATGAGATTTTTTTCTGTAAACTGGGGATTTATTGATTGGAAGTGGCAGAGAAGGAGAAACACTTAGGTGTGTTGGTTGACCATAAGATGACTATGGGCTGTCAATATGACATGGCCATGAAAAAGCCTAATGAAGAACTAGCATCAGGTGAAGGATTTCCAGTAGAGAAAGGAAAGTATTAGTCATATTATAGAAGGCACTAGTGAGATGAGAACTCATCTGGAATACTACATGCAACGTCTCTCATGCTTAAGAATTCAATTTGCAACAGGTGCAGGAAAGGGCTACTTAGATGATCTGACGAATGGCAACCCTACCTCGTGAGATGAGGCTCAAAGAGTTTGGCTTTGTTTAACCTATTCAAAAGAAGGCTGAGGGGAGAGATGGTTGCTCTTTATAAGTACATCAGAGTGATAAACACTGGGGAGGAAGAGGTGTTACTTAAGTTGAGCACCAATGTGGATATAAGGACAAATGTCTATACACTGACCCTCAAGTTTAGACTCACTTAGGCAAAGGTTTCTAATAATCAGAAGACTGAAGTTCTGAAACAGACTTCCAAGAGGAGCAATAGGGGCAAAAGCCCTAACTGGCTTCAAGGCTGGACTTGATGTGTTTATGGGGGGGATGATATGAGAGGACTACCTATAATGGCATGTGGCCCATCAGTGACTACCCATAGCAAAAACTCCAACTGCTGGAGATGGGACACTAGATGGGGAGGGCTCTAAGTTACTCCAGATAATTCTTTCCAAGTGTCTGGCTAGTGCAGTGGTCCCTAATGCGGTACCCCAGGGTGCCATGGTGCCCACCGGGGCATTTATGTGCACTCGCCTAGCACCGCCCCCAGGAGCGCAGCGCAGCGCATGCACGGCCCCCGCCCCGGGCGCCCAGCACATGCGCGGCCTCACCCCCGGGTGGCCTGGCAGCCCCACGCGGCGCCCGCCACCCAAAAAGGTTGGAGACCACTGGGCTAGTGGGTCTTGCCCACATACTCAGGGTCTAACTGATCACCATATTTGGGCTTGGGAAGAAATTTTCCTCCTGGTCAGCTGGGCAGAGACCATGGGGGCAGGTGGAAGTTGCCTTCCTCTGTAGCATGGGGCATGGGTCACTGGCAGGTTTAAACTAATGTAAATTATTTGTAACTTGAAGAATTTAAACCATGATGTGCGGTCTTCGTTAACTTAGCCAAGAGGTTCGGGGTCTATTACAGGAAGCGGGTGGGTAAGGTTCCGTGTTCCGTGTGCAGGTGGTCAGACTAGATCATGACAGTGGATGCTTCTGTCCTTAAAGTGCATGAGTTTGAGTCTGTATTGTGCAGATTTTTGTTACTAATCTGCCTGAGATGTCAGGTGATCAGGCTGAGGCCACAGGATCGTTAAGGGAGGAGGTGACGGAACACACCGAGGCTATGTCTACACTCGTGACTTCTTGCGCGAGTAATATGCAAATGAGGCTAAGCAGGGAATATCGCCAAGCCTCATTTGCATACCTAATGAGCCACCATTTTTTTCAGAAGAGGCTCTTGCGCAAGAAGGAGCATCTACACTGCCCCTTCGTGCGCAAGAAAAACCCTCTTGGGCAATGCTGTTACACCTATTACTTTTCAGGAAGAATGGCATTGCGCAAGAGGGTTTTTCTTGCACAAGAAGGGGCAGTGTAGATGCTCCTTCTTGCGCAAGAGCCTCTTCTGAAAAAAATGGTGGCTCATTAGGTATGCAAATGAGGCTCCGCGATATTCCATGCTTAGCCACATTTGCATATTACTCGCGCAAGAAGCCACGAGTGTAGACATAGCCCAAGTGTCTAAGTTTTAAAGCTTTATTGATAAAATAATAAAATAACAGCGTAGAGTGATGGGTGCTTCCCACGTCACTCAGAGGAAGGAAGAAAGCGCTAGTGCCCGAACCCTAACCCACTTTCATACTCACACACTCGCTACCCGAGGCTGGCCAGGCCTGGGTGTAACGAAAGAAGAGGGGGAAGGGTGAATGGAGTTTGGTCCTGTGCACACAGGTCGTCCAGATTCCACTGTGATCTCTCTGAATTGCTCCGGCTCTCAGGAGGGTTTTAAGTCCTGGGCTCCTTTTGGGGTGTTCCATTCCGCAACGTCTGGTCCTGGTGCTCTTTGTGACAGTCCAAACCAGCTTTCTGTGGTCTCTTTGACTTTCCCAAAACACAACGGCTAAACTCTGTTGTTTTCTTTGCTTTCCTCTATGCTGGCCTTTCCTTGTCTTGCTTGTTATGGGCTGGCTCTGCTCAATTGAATTTGTCTTTCTTATGGCTGACCAGTGGATTCCAGGCCCCCCTTCTTTTTTGGCTGGCAGCTGAGAGTCAGATGTGTGCTGTGGCCTTTAGCTGGCTGGAATCAACATCTTATCTTCAGGCCTAGCAGGAGAGGAGTTAACCCATTCTCTGCTTTCTTCGTTCCTCCCCCTCTTGTCCCCCTGGCATCTCGCGACCTGCAAAGGAATCCTTCATTCATTCCACACTCACACCTTTGACCCTAACCAAAATGCCCTGCGATGCTTGCCACTGCGTTAGCAATATTCAGTACTGACCTGCCTCCCCAGGGGGACCCTTTGAGGGAGGGAGCCATTGGGGTGTGACAGTATTACAGCAATGGATATTACAAGCAGCATCCCAGAGAATTACACAAAGGCGGCCAAATGCCGTTTAATGAAATATTGCTCTAATTGCCTGAATTTAAACCATATATTTTTATTTCATATCCACATAACAGATCTCCTTTTGCTTATTCTGGTCTCCTTGTGCACAGAAACTCCTGACAGCGAGATCCACAGTGGTGGAGACCACAGCATGCAGAAAGCAAGATCCATAATGTGGTTCTGAGAGAAGAATTTTGCACATAATCAATTAATCAATACCGGATGGATTTGCCATTTTGCAAGCTGTTGGTTTAAAAAATAAAACATAAAAGAGGGATCTTAAAAAAATAGGTGTTTTCCTCCCCCAACAACCAACATTTGTCTGCTTTATTTTTGTTCAGGTTAGTGAAGCTGAGAGTGAATCCCCTGACACAGAATTATTACAGCATATCCCAAGCACTGAACAGCACCAAATCAGAGAAGAATCAGACCAGGCAAGAACATACCTTCAAACGGAGGGAGATTTCTGTTTGGACAAAACTCAGGCCTTACAGATAAAGCAGGAAACAGGTATTAAATGTCTTCTTTTATTGTTGGCTTTTACTGTGTATCACACTTCTACAGATATTCTCCCCAGGCTTCAGCCTATGCTCATTGAAATCAATGACAAAGCTCACACTGACTTTATTAGTGCGGGACCAGGGCCTTTTGCTCTATTGCTGGCTCTGCCACTGACTTCCTGATTTCCCTGACCAAGTCACTTAAACAGTCCGTGTCTCTAACTTTTCTGTCTGTAAAATGGATACATAATGTTTACCTGAAATGTTATGAGGATTAATTCATGTTGGTAGTGTTTTGAGATCTGATGGAAGATGCTACAAAATGGAAAATTATTATTATACTAACATGTAATTAGAGATTATATGTTGATCAGAGATGGAGCATGAGTGTTATTCAAATTTTGCTTGTTTTACTCATGCAAGAATGACTTCAGTGGGAGTACATATCTAGTAAGGAGCATGATAGAGGTTTTCAGGTATCTAAAAGGGTGTCAGAAGGAGAAGGGAGAAAAAGTGTTCTTCTTGGTCTCTGAGGAGAGAATAAGAAGCAATGGGCTTAAACTGCAGCAACGGAGGTTTAAGTTGGACATTAGGAAAAACTTCCTAACTGTCAGGATGATTAAACACTGGAATAAGTTGTCTAGAGACGTTGTGAAATCTTCATCTCTGGAGATTCTTAAGAGCAGGTTAGATAGACATCTATCTGGGATGGTCTAGATGGTACTGGGTCCTGCTGTGTGGGCAGGGGACTGGACTTGATAACCTGTTGAGGTCCCTTCCAGTTCTAGTGTTCTATGATTCTATGATTTGCCCCATATTTGAAAATGCCTCCTAGATCAGTTATTCACTCAGCAGTGTGATCATAGCCTTGTTGGTGAGCAGATACGAGAGAGACTGGTAGGTGAGGTAATATATTTTATTGGACCAACTTCTGTTGGTAAAAGAGACACTCTCAAGGTTACACAATACACATCTTCAGTACTCAGTGTGCAGTTCAGCTCTGCTTTCTTGATACACACACACACTTCTGCCCACACCAACAGTCTTCACAGAAAAAAAATCACATTATAAGTTCTTGTTGTTCCCGTTCTGAAGGTTCTAAAAAAAAGAAGAAAAAAGCTTCAAAGAAAGACAGCTTACCATTCAGCAAAGAAAAGGTATTTTCTCTCAGCATAAGTGCTACAGATAGTATTAGAGGAGCATTGGCAATGACTCATGCCAAAAACATTGATTATTTCTGATGGGTTTTTATGAAGTTTGTATAGCAATGCTAAAATTGGTAGCTGAGATACATTAACTATAAGTGGCATAGAAAAGTCCAAGAGGTAATTAATAATTCTCAACTCAGAGTGGGATTTGAACAGTGTACAGTAAATAAGTTCTAGTACCACACTTTAAACAGAAAAGAAAACATAAAATATTAAATAACTGCTCTGGAAGTGAGCACCATGAATTCTGTGCACTGAATGAGGCAGGGGTCTAGTGGAAAAAATAGTATGTGATCATGCAATTAAAGACTGTATTATAATTCAAACGCACAAGAAATCCAGATTGGATCACGCAGATAACCTTAGTTTTGATATATTCTAACTTTGAATGCATATCTTTGCAACATTAATGATCTTTTAATATAGTTTGTTGTGTATAATAGACCACTGATGGGCTCAACTCACAAAATTCCAAATTAATATCTGGATTTTGAGCATCCCCAAAACTGAGGGGTTTAGCTCTCAAGTTCTGATTTGGCCCAACTCAAATAAAAACGCATAATAATTTAATAAGATTCAATAAAAATATACTTTAAAATATATTCCTAGTTATTAAACAGAGTTTTCCCCTCCTTGTGCATTTGCTGTTGCATAGTATGTTCTTAAACATCACTTATTTATTTATGATTTAGAAGTGTGTGCCCAAGAATTTATCTAGTTCAGAAGATGCAGGTCTGAGAAAGACACACACACTAAAACATAAAAGATTTTCTTCAGAGACTCAGGTACCTGTTGTTGTAAATATGGGTTATCAGTTTACCTCAACTGCTGTTGGATGGCAGGAGAGAAAGCTTGGTGATGCATTTAGAATACAGTTTCACCTTGAAATCATTTTATTCATTTAGAAAATTAATGAATATTAAATAATACACAGAAACCTCCTTTACATCAGTGATTCTGTATAAGATGGTACCTCAGAAGAGAGTAAGTTTTGCTTCAGAAGGACCCGAATACAAATCTTAAGTCAGATTTATTAAACACATTATTAACGTTTTCTTGTAAATCTGGCATTCCTACCATTTTCTCCAGAATTGCTCAGGCCATTGGATTGGCAGTACGGGCGGGGAGGAGGACAGTTGAAAGAAATTCTATACCTAGTGTTACCAAACTCAGCAAATTGACAATGCATTGACAGTGTATTCATAATGGAATATTACCTGCTCGAACCTGTATTCTCCATAGATCCAGTGCATAGCGAGGGGAGTTGAAGAGTGGGGCAGGGTGCCAGTTTAGTTCCCCTCCACTCCCCCTGTCATCCCTCAACTAGCCTGCTCCTCCTCCACTGGCTAGAGCCTCCCCCTTGCCTCTCTGCCCCCAGCCCGACCCCGCTCCACCTCTGCCAGTGGGCTAGTGTGTGCGAGGGCCCAGCCCCAAACCGGAGGGGGTAGGGGAAGACACAGTACAAGCTCTCCCCCCCACCTTCCAGGGTCGGGTTCAACCAGGCACCAGGTTTGAGGTCCTGTGGTGGGGGGAGGTGGACGGGCAAATTTTGCCTTTGCCCTTGGGCACATAACATGATCTCTATGCTTCTGCACAGATCTCACTTCCTCTGTATTAATTGTCAGGCATCTGCAATCTGCCCCACTTAAAACACATTAATCTGAAGAAGTGGGTTGTACCATCTATGTGTTTTGTTAGTCTTTAAGGTGCTGCTGCACTATTGGTTGCTTTTTAAGTTTTTCCAGTTACAGACTAACTTGGCTACCTTCCTGAAATTTTTAAGACACATTAATTACTATGCTAAGGCTCTTGTAGCCTGTGCTGGGTATCGTATCTCCCTGATCATTTATTTAAAAAGAAAAATGTTGAATTCTATTTTTTTTAATCAGAAGGCCTTGATGGCTAGAGACCTCAAGACTGTCTCCCCGGCCCATTCGACTATTCCTATAGGTAAGGTCAGATATTCCAACTTCATTATAAGTTTGTACTTGAAATGATAGGCATTAACATTCTCTTCTTCACAGAGTGATCCCAAAAGACATTTTGCAGTAATTAATCAAATAACTCACAATAAACCTTAAAGGAACTAAAAATCTTTTGTAATTAAAGGTATAAATTGTTGAATTTCATCATACCTGGTAAGACCGAAGACCAAGGAATCTGTAGTCTTAAATGTCATTCAGTGGTGCAATTTGGATATTTGAACATACATTGACTTATTTGCACATTTTCTTTTCTGCCCCCATACCAATTATTTACCCTCCCACTGCTTTTTCTTTGTCTCCTTAGCATTTTCCCCTATCCTTTCCCCCTCCTTAATTTTCCTCAGCCTTAGAGTCCTAACTCAGTCCTTCAAGAACTTTGGCCATAGTGATGAAGTCTAGAGTACCTTCTCCATACAACTCCTCTGCTCTCCCAATGAAAGTAAGAGATAGGAACAGCAGGTGCCCAATATTAGCAGTTTACTGATAAATCTGGGAGACTTAACAACTCTTTATCCCAAGTCATTGCGATATTGGAAGCAGGACTGTTCATTGTTGAAATCAGATCCTGTTGTGCTAACAGTTCAAGAAGGTTCTCCAATAGCTCAAGTGTCAGGGACCTGTGTTTTGGAAGCAGGAAAATCTGTGTTCTGTTATCTCCTCTGCTGCTGGAATGTTCTGAATGACTAATATAATCTGCAAAAGCGGCAAGGAGTCCTGTGGCACCTTATAGACTAACTGAAGTGTTGGAGCATAAGCTTTCGTGGGCAAAGACCATGCATCTGACGAAGTGGGTCTTTGCCCATGAAAGCTTATGCTCCTACACTTCAGTTAGTCTATAAGGTGCCACAGGACTCCTCGCCGCTTTTGCAGATTCAGACTAACACGGCTACACCTCTGATACTTAATATAATCTAGTGACAGCCATGAAGCGGACATGTGCTTAGTGGTTTTTCAGGCCTGGCTTGACAAAGCCCTGGCTGGGATGATTTAGTTGGGGTTGGTTCTGCTTTGAGCAGAAGTTGGACTAGATAACCTCCTAAAGTCTCCTCCAATGCTAATCTTCTATGATTCTCTGTGGCCCCAGATTTGTTGAAATATGATGTATTCTTTCTAAACGTCTCTTGGTTTACAAGCTGTCATCACCAGTGCAATTGCCTGGTGCATAATTGGGGCAGAATTTAGCCACCAATGTTTAATAAATTTGCCACTCTGTCTTTTAACCATGAATGGTCTGTTCCATTGACCTAGAATGATTCGCACTTTAGAAGTTTCTAACAAACGACTTTGCTCTCCCAAGAGCTGTATTAATTCTTCAGCAAAGCAATGGTCAAACATTTTTGCCATGCAATGTCTTTCATTGACCTGAAGGTGGAGCACAGGCCCTATTTGTTTTAAAACTTTTGTTCTAAAACATAAACCTTTCTATATGACTGATCCCAGAGGCTCTCTGATGCTGAACGCTGGCCACAAGGCCCACTGGATTCAGTGGGGATAAAACAAAGCTAGACTGGAGATGAAATTCACAGGTATTTCATTACAGAAAAACTCAGGTTTTGCACATTCAGATATGAAACCTGGACCAAAGGATCCTTCACTAATTGTGCTCCTGAGGCCACCCTATTGTTTAAGGCCCAGGAATGAATAGATTATATCTTCTCTTTCAGTGAACAAGCCCATTGTATTACACAGGAGTTAGAATTAGAGGGGAAAGATAAGGTTAAAGGAGAATATAACTGAGCAGAGGCCAAGCCTTCCATTCATCTCTGTTTGCCTTTGTTCCTGAAATTGGGGTGGGGGAAAGTAGTCATGTCATGATATTCAAACCTTGTGGCTGAATAGGCCCCATCATAACAGACCTTATTTTTCTATGTTATCAGTAAGGGTATGTCTACACTACCACCCTAGTTCGAACTAGGGTGGTTAATGTAGGCAACCGGAGTTGCAAATGAAGCCCGGGATTTGAATTTCCCGGGCTTCATTTGCATATTGCCGGGCGCATCATTTTTAAATGTCTGCTAGTTCGGACTCCGTGCCCACAGCTACACGCGGCACGAACTAGGTAGTTCGGATTAGGCTTCCTATTCCGAACTACCGTTACTCCTCCCTGCCACCCAGACCCTGCACGTCCTTGCCCCTGCTCCATGCCAACACCCTACACCCCCATCCTGCTCCTTTCCCCTTCCCCTGGCCAGACACCTACTCCTGGCTTGCTCCAGCACCCTACCTCCCACCCAGATTCTGCACCTCCATTCCTATCCCACCTACTGTCAGCTCTGACCCCCACACTGGACCCCTCATTTTTGGCCCCACCCCAGAGCCTATGGAGGCCCACAAAATCCATTGACCCCAAATTTCCCAGAACTTTCTCCCATTTCCCCTCCCCCTCCCCATCCATGGGCCTGGAGTACCAGGGGAGTGAGGTGTCTCAGGCACTACATCAGTCAGGGCTGGAGGTTTTTGGAGGCGTTGTTCTTTTGCTTCTCACTTGTATGGTCCTCAACTGATTTTTCTGTGGGACAGTGATCCCTGGCCCAAAAAACGTTCCCCACCTCGGACATAAATAAAGACCATATTGAAACCTTTTGTGTTGGACGTAATATTTTAGTTTATTTATTTAAAAATGAAGCCTGGCCAACAAGCCCCCAACTGGGGCCCAGCCCCCATCTGTCTGCAGCATCATAAAACTCCAACAACCCCACATGCCCCAACCCTGAGCCCATCATACTCTTCAACCTCCTGCCCTGAGCCCCACATCCCCAAACTCCTGCACCCCCACATCCCCACCCCCTGCCATAAGATTGACTGAAGACAGCCTGAATATGTGCATGAAGCTAGATTTGACCAGTTATGATGTAAACTTCCAAGAAATGTACGAAAAGATGCAACAGCAGAAGTTCCATTAAATAAAGTCTGTGAGTACAGTGCTTCATTTATGCTATTATTAATCATTATGTCAATTATCAATACTATTAAGTTGTATATTTTCAGTCATGCAAACAGGCATTCTTATATGGTTCTTTGACCAGTTATTCTGAATTTTGATGTAGTTTCGCTCTTTGGTTTGAAAAGGCTGCTGACCCCTGAGCTGGAGTGAGATTAATGGAGCTGCAAAGAAAGCTCTGATTCTGCTAGGCCTAAATACTGAGACGAATGATATTTTAGAGAAAAATAAGGCCTTTATGAAGGACACTTTTGTCTCTGTGCCCACAATGGATTTGGCGCTTCCTAAAGTTAGTCTTCTGGCTTCAAAGTAGATGGTATACATTTCTGTTGATCTGTGGGGTAACGGTGGTATTCAGATTTTCAGAAGGTTCCATGACAGCATAGAAATGTCCTTTCAGGAATACTGCTACTGTCAAATTTCAGCACAAATGCTATTGGAACTATTTATTTATTTTATGGTTTATAAAACACAGCTCTTGGTGTGCGTACACAAGTATAACATCACATATCTCAGGATCTAACGACATAAGGATGCCCGTCCTAGCCCCACTGAACTCACTGGGAACCTTACCATTGACTTCTGTGGGGGAGAGGAATTGGGCACAAAATGAAAACTGAAAAGAAAAAAATATGCCCCCAAAACTATTCAGCCCTTCCCAGCTCACCCCTTCTGACAAAGGTTTGAGTAATAGACTTAACAACATGGCCTTGATGTCAGCCAACTCATTTCTATGAAGCCAGTGAGGAAAACAAACTGCAGAGTCAAGGGCCTTTTACTAAGAGCCTCTTGGCACCATCTCCCAGACCTTTTAATCTAAGGTTTGCTAGCTGATGCAGACCTGCTGATTTCAACCACTGGAATAAAACATAAAGAGAAAGACGGTGGGCAAAGTGGCCAGGATCAAAGTTGCATAGTGCTTTGGTGATCTAAGATATTGTGCAAAGGCATTTCCTTTTGTATGTTAAACGTGGGATGTGAAATACTTCGTCTTATTCTGATAAATTATACCTCCACGTAAGATAGTGATAGAAACGTAGCCGTGTTAGTCTAGGGTAGCTGAAACAAAATACAGGACTATGTAGCACTTTCAAGACTAACAAGATGGTTTATTAGATGATGAGCTTTCATGGGCCAGACCTACTTCCTTCCACTATTTGATCTGAGGAAGTGGGTCTGGCCCAGGAAAGCTCATCATCTAATAAACCATCTTGTTAGTCTTGAAAGTGCTACATAGTCCTGTATTTTGTTTCATCTCCATGTAAGGTATGACATATATCATGGACTGTCTGCTTCTCAGAGGAAGGCATATCTCTATTCCATTGTATTACTGACATTCTAGAAAGCAGCACAAAGATCTCCACAAAATTAGCACTCGGAAAAAAGAAGTAACATCTTGGCATCCGTCACTACTGTGATGCCACTGCTGCCAACGATGTAAAAGCAGGTCAGTTCCCTCAGGTTTGACAGCCTAGTCTTTAGGTACAGTAAGTAAAGTACTCATCTAAGTCAGGTAAGGTCCTTCATTCTCCAGCCTACTTTTAATTATAATTGCTGTCGTCCTCATTTCTTTTGTGAAAGCTGCAAATGCAGTTAGGGTTCTGGTATGCTGATCTCTGACAATATCAAATGTTCTAAGAACTCTTAATCGAAGGCAGCTCATGAAAGCACCTCAGGGAGCACTTTATTCTCTGTGTTTAAAAGGACATGAAAGTACAATAGCTCTCTTTATACTGGTATAAAGCAGTTGATTGATCTTGGCAGTTTAATAAATAATACAGTTGCTTCCATTAGACACTGTTAATAGACTCCTGCCTGGACTAATGTTGTATTAAGTTGTTTAAGTGCTTAGATGTTGTCTGCCCACGTCTTCTCTGAGTTAATCTTTTATCTCCTGAAGGTAGAGCTTCCAACAGTAACCCCCAAAAAGGGCATGAAGAGCCCAACTCGTCATCCCTTTCTCTGTTTTCATATGTACTGTTGCAAGCAGCAAACTACTTATGTTCCTGGCTTGGCCAGTTGACTGGCTAGCATCTCATGTTTGGAGGGATTCAAATGCACTTGTACATGTAGAATCACAGACACTTTGTATTAGAGGGGGTCAGGGTAGAGGTGGTTTCAAGATGAAAAGTTTGAATCAGTACATTGAATTTTAGGGTGTTTGAATCTAGATTTTTATTTCAGTCCACTATAAAAATATGGATCAGTTCCAAAATGTATCTCTATGTTCAGATTTCAATCCTAAATTCAATTTTTTGGGGCCCAACCCTATTTTTATGTTAACATGAGCAATAATGCCATTTGTTTTATATGGAGAGAAGTGCACTCAGTGCTTTTGTTTCTAAAATGTGAGGCCTGTGTGTGTGTTTTATCATGAGTGATATGCCAGGGACCATGAGACATGGTACAAATGCTAAGACTGAAGAAATGTGCAAGTAACATTGGTAGCTAGGGATCATAAAACCTTTAGTGTGTTGTCTTCTGCTTATTTTTTTCTCTCTGTGCCAGGAAAGAAAATGATTCCTACTCTTCCACCTGAGGTATGTGATAAACAAGAGGGGGAAAATGCTTTGATCATTGGGAATATGTTCCAAGGATTTTCATGACCAGAATTTGATGCTTTGAAAACATGGCTTATGCACTGGCATGTGTACAGGGTGTGCCAGGTGTGCCCAGGCACACATTAATGTCTTAAGGTTGCCAAGTGTCTGGTTTTCTACTGGACAGTCTGTTTTTTTTGGGCTCTGTCCGGTAAAAAAAATCCAGAAAATACTGGACATGTGCAGTGTCCGGTATTTTCTGGTTTTCTGACCAGGCTCCCGGAAGCCTGGCTCAGGGAGTGGCTGGAAGGCAGGGCGCGATCGGCGCTGGGAGCCCTGGTTGCGTGTGAGGAGGAGGGGCAGCCCGGTCTGTGCTCCTGCACGCTGGTCAAGCACATGGTGGAGCTGCAGCCAGACTGACTCGTGCTTCGCCTGAACCGTGCGGGGGGCGGGAGCGCCCTGGGATCTGCACTGCCCAGGTCAGTCCCGCTCCCCAACCCCACCGCCAGCTCTACCTCCCGCCGGCTGGTTCCTCCTCCCAATCTTCCCCGGCCAGCCCCGCTGCACCCCCTGCCAGCGTTGCTTCGGGCAGCCAGTTCTCCCCTCCTCCTGAGCTCCCCCGGCCAGCCCTGCTCCCGCTGGCCTCCCCTCCTTCCCCCCGATCTCCACCGGCCAGCCCTGCTCTGCCCTCCCCCCTCCTCCTACCAACCCTCTATGCTAAGGAAGATATGCACAGCCTCTTGCCTACACTTCCCTCAGTAGAAATGATACAAACTGGGGTTATAAGCCAGAAATAAGCCAGCATTTCTTCTCCCCCGCTCTGCTTCCCTCCCCTCCCTCCTTCCTCCTGGCCAGCCCCTCCCCCTGCCCATGTCCAGTATTTTTTTTAAGACTACCTGGCAACCCTATAATGTCTCCAAAAAAAAGTAACTTTGTGTTTTAATGTAATCGCATGATATGCTTTTTTAGTTTTAAAGTATGGATTGCTGTATTATGCAATAAGCGCTGAATTGCACATGTAAAAAACAAACTAAGAAGTACGTCCCATACTTAAGTTTGTATTTTTTAAGTAAAGTTTAGTTGTTAATTTAAAAAAAATTAAGTTTAGTTAAGTTTTAGTTTCTTTAGTTTGTTTGATGAATAAATATAATGTCCTTTATGATTGAGTATTCAATAAATGTTCGCCTTTAAAAAAAAAATCTCTGGGTGCACACCTTAATGAAATGTGCTGCGCACGCCTATGGGCTTATGGTATTGCTGTTATGCATGTTCAGAATTTTTAAGAACTACAGAGTGTTTCCAGTTTGACTCTCTGAAGACTGTGTTTCCTCCAACTTAAAACCCATTTCCCCAAATGAGGATTCTGATAAAGATTGGACAGATTCCCTTTGGAGTCGTGCAGAGCTCCAGCTTCATTGCTTACAGGAGTTGCTGCAGAGGTGATATGAATTGACTTGGCACCTGTGTGTAAGATCATTCTGATTGTAGTGGATGTTTACCGTTCCTAGAGTCAGTAATTCATTTGATTATAATAATTATTAGCACTCTTGCTGTTTATCTGGAATATTCTATCTGGGCATGTTTACTGGAAACAAAGCAAAAACTGGGGAGTTAACATCAATCAAAAACTGTACCTAGTGATAGAGAAATAGTCAGAGTTCTAACCTGGCACTCAAGAGAAGAGGATTTTTGTCTTTGCTACAGACATTGTGTGTGATCTTTGGCAAGTTACTTAGTATACCAGTGCTTCAGATTCCTGCCTATAAAATGGAGATAATATAGCTCTGCCCTACCTCACAGAGATGTTGTTAGAAGAAATACATTAAAGAGAGAAGGTGCTTAGATCCTACAGTAATAAATACTTAAGATAGATAGCTTGCTCAAATAGAAGAAATTCACACTGTGAGGAGAGGATCAACAGCTTTGGGTTCTTTCAGATCAAGAGGGGAATGAGCTCCAGAGCTAAAAACCCTTTCCCCAGACTTGTGTGTTCGAGGCTTGTGGCTGTTATAAAGAGGACCTCTTCTAGTTTCAACTGTTGAAGTAGTGCTTGCAGTTTTTGAGGCCTTTCCACATTGTAATTTAAAGTTAAAATAAAAAAACATTTCCGTTCAAATACAAAATCCTGGACTGGAGTCATGCATAAGCTTCGAAATGGTAAATGGATTCATTTAAAAAAACAAAAATTTTTTGTTGAAAGCTACTAGCTCTGAGTTCAGGATTCTCAACATGTGAAGTCAGAACTAATGATGTTACCAAAACCTAAATGTGCCAGAAAGGTAGCTCTTTGCTCTGCTGTGAGTGCTATTGATTTCTTCATGATTCCTGTGTGAAAGACAAAACTCAGCTCTCAGGTCTTGGTAAGTTAAGTAATTCAGATCATTTTCAGAATCATGCTGCTGAAAGGTTTTGTTTTTTAATCAGACAGGTAGGATTATTTCTTTTCTCTAAGATGTGTGAGCAATTGCTGCTTCTGTCAGTAAGGGTACGTCTACACTGTGTAGCTTTTTCAGGATACTGGAGGTATCCTGTAATATCTACCCACCTCCACCCCTGTCTTAGCAAGCCGCCTGTTATTTCGAAATATTTTTCAAAATAATTGGTGCACTATTTCAGAATCCCCATAAGCCTCATTCCACGAGGGTTAAGGGACGTCTCAAAATAGTGCGTTATTCCAAAATTTGGTTCTGTGTAGATGTGCCAAATTTCAAAATAAGCAGTTTTGAAATAGAATTGAAATAAGATATGCAATTTGCATAGCACATCCTAAATGGACAGGTTTCTTCCTGTGCCCAATGTGCAAGGACTATTAATGAAATCTGCAATAAACACCTGAGTACTAGACATACTCAACACATTTTGCATCTGGCTGACATGTCAGGGAACTAAATCCTCCTAGATATTTTGATGCTTTTAAACACCATTTAAGGACTGAATGTAGGGACTTTTGGGAAATGCAATACAGAACCTTTCTTTTTAAGATCACCCAGTGGCTGGTTGAGGCACATTAGCAAGGGGTATTGAAAGGGAAGCTTGTCTTGCTGAATATGTGGTACTTGCCCTTTGCAGAGCGGATAAGGTTTCCAATGTTGTCAAACTTGCACTTTTCAGGAGCTCAAGCTCATGTGGATATTTCCAACTGGATTTAAAGAAGTGACTATTTCTTTTTGTTAGCAATTGAGGTCATTCGATTAAAATGGCTGCCAACACATAATGATGTAGAGCAGAAGAATTAGGAAGCTGAGATTTGAACCCAAGTTATGATCTTCTGTATTGTAGCCACATGTTCCAGTTGCTATTTTTCCATAAGTACTGAGCACCTCCTGGGATGTGCTAAGCACCCACACTGCTCAGAGAGGTCAATAGGCATTGAAGATGCTCAGCCCCATGCAAGGTTTGACCCTTTGACTCCCATCTCTTTAGTTAGAAATCATGTTGTTTTATCTAATGCTTGTCTCTCTGTCTGTGTGTTTTAGGCGGTGGCGCCAGCTGAGAAAAGGTATGCGGAGTGGAATGATTAAATCATGCATTTTCAAATAATCAAAGGCACGCTCTTTCTGCTAAGCAAGAATGTGGTTTCTTTGAACAGACATCTAACCAGATTCAGGATTTCTTTGGGATTTTAAATTTCTTAGAAGAACAATGGAGGAAAACTGAATCTGGTTAAGGCTGGTTCTGCTCTCCTATATACCCAGGGCCAGATGTAATCTCATTTATATTCTTTTCATGTTTCAGCTGACAGAAAATAACTGTGCAGTCTGATTTCATTCTCTAAAGAAAATTGTTCCTATTGTGACAGTGTTTCAAAGCATTTCACACCAACATCCTTATTCTATGTATGTTGTTGGCTATGACTGCAGCACAGGAATGACACTTCAGTGAAACAAGTGGAAGGGGGACAGATTGTTACTATATATTATTTGTCTAGGGCCAGGCATGGACCAGGACCCCATTGCACTAGGGGCTGTACAAGCACAGAAGAAAAGGATGCTCTTGCCCCCAAAGAGCATATTCATTATTTTTGTTCAACTGTTCTCTTCCTTCATCACGAATTCCTAACGTCGTAACAGCTTCCAGCTTGGAATGTACCTCCCTCAGTTCACTGGACTCTGACAAACATTAAAGCCAATTGAGACTACTCATGTGCTTAAAGTTAGGCAGGTACTTAAATACTTTGCTTGAATTAGAGCCAAATAGTACCATTTAGGGACTGGCCAGTGTCTGGATTGTTCAGAGCTACTACACATAGAGGGAACTCCAGAAGATAACATGCCTCCATCATTTGCACTTCCTGGAATGCTAGTAGGAAGCAGGGGATGCCCATTAACAAACAGAGGTGCTGTGATTGGGCCTGGTTTTTACACTGCCCTCTTGGGTAGGGTTGCCAGGCATCTGGGATTGACCCAGACAGTCTGGTATTTTCAGCTCCTGTCCGGTAAAAAAAATGATCAGAAAATACCAGACACTTAAAATGTCCGGTATTTTCTGATTTTTTTCCCAGCCAGGGGGCAAAAATACCAGACTGTCCGGGTCAATACTGGACACCTGGCAACCCTACACACAGTCAGCAATCGTCCCCCTCCCCCTGCCGCCGCTGCTTACCTGCTTCTGCAGGGGAGCTGTTTGACCCAGAGCAGGGAGGGAGGCAAGATGGCCACTGGCTTTCTTTCAACAACATTTTTTCCACGTTTTTTTGGGGTGGGGAGGGGGAGAGGAGTTTGGTATTTTTGGTTAAACAATCTGGCAACTCTACTCTTGGGCTAGACATAGCCTGCTCCTTTTGGGGCATGTTCTCCCCTCTTTATGTGAACATACTGTTTTTATTTTGGTTCATGGACACACATGTTCTGGTTGCTCTCCTGGCTTTTTGGCTTTGTCATAATGAGCCAACATTTGCATGGTAATTCCATTCTTGAGGATGTCTACTTTGCCTTGTCAGGTCATTTAAATGACACAGTGATGGTGAAACAATTGAGGCTAATGTGCTTTTTGTGACAAAAATGGAAAGGCCACAGCACTGTCTTCTGGACATGATTTTGCAGCTCAAAGATATAGCCTGAAGGAGAAAAAAATGATGATGAGTAGCCTTCCCTCAGAGCATCATGATTATAAAATTGGGGGACAATGTTGCTTTTAGTAGCCAACTTAAGGGAGCAAAAAATGTCATGTGAGTGTTGTAAGGTCAAATACTGTCTTTCAAACACAGGGATCATACTTTTTAATCATAGCTTGATGTTTAACTTTGGCCAAAGAAGTCATATGGGCACACCTGATTTGCTGAAAAAGAACCAGTCACAACCAGTCTCATTTTTCATACAAAGGGTTGCTCCAAGATTACAGTTCTCAGCCTGCAAAGCTTCAGGGTCATGGATCAGAGAGCAGGCCCATCAATAGGTGGGGAGGAGGGAGGCAGTGGGAGGGCAAGAAGGCAAGGCACCCTGTGGCTCAGTGACACAAAACAACCTCAGAACTCTTGGCTGCCACTGCTGCTATTATGGCATCAGCTGCAGCTGGAACCTCGGGCCCTTTAAGTTACTGCCAGAGCACCACGCAGCATGTTTCAGTCAGCACTGAGGGCTGAGGTGGGGAGGCATGGTGCTCTCCAGGTGGTGCTGAGGCCTGCCTAGCCCCAGCCTCAGCCCTTCCACTTGAGGCCCAGAGAGCAGGCCTCCCCCATCTTGCCCAGAAGTCTGGCTAGGCTGTTGGCCTTGCTGCCTGAAAGTGAAAATCACTATGACCTGGTGGTTAGGGAACTCACTTAAGAATTAGGTGATGCAAAGTTGAAACGCTGTGCCAATGACTAATTAGTTGTGTGCAGAGGAACAGCTTCAGCTGGAGATGTTGGGAGTTCTCCTCCCCTGAATACCCCATAGTGCACTGGCTAATGGCTATTGTACTGTCCTGCAATGCGGGAGACCCACGTTCAAATTCCTTCCCCTGTCAAGCAGAAAGGAAATTGAATCCAAGTCTCACATATGTCAGGCATAGTAATAGAAATGTAGCCGTGTTAGTCTGGTGTAGCTGAAGCAAAATACAGGACTATGAAGCACTTTAAAGACTAACAAGATGGTTTATTAGATTATGAGCTTTTGTGGGCCAGACCCACTTCCTCAGATCAAATAGTGGAAGAAAATAGTCACAACCATATATACCAAAGGATACAATTTAAAAAAATGAACACATATGAAAAGGACAAATCAAATTTCAGAACAGAAGTAGGATGTGGGGGGGGCTTGAAGGAAGGTAAGTGTCTGTGAGTTAATGATATTAGAGGTGGGGAAAATTAGATGTCTGTGAGCTAATGGTATTAGAGGTGATAATTGGGGAAGCTATCTTTGTAATGGGTAAGATAACTAGATCCTTTGTTTAGACTCAGGTGTAGAGTGTAGAGGATTCCCTTTCAAGTGCAGATTTAAAAGGTCTTTGTAGCAGGATGCAGGTAGTTAAGTCGTTGAGACAGTGTCCTTTCTGGTTGAAATGGCAAGAAACTGTTTTTTCTTTGTGATCCTGTCTAATATATGTTTTGTGGGCATTGATCCTTTGGCGAAGTGTCTGAGACGTTTGTCCAATGTACAAAGCAGACGGACACTTACGGCACATGATAGCATAAATTATATTTCTGGATGTGCAGGAATATGTGTTCTTGATCTTAGAACTCACTTGGTTAGGTCCAATAATGGTATCAGCAGGGTGAATATGTGGACAAAGCTGGCAATGGGGTTTGTTGCAAGGGAAGGTACCAGGGTTGGTATTAGTGTGGTATGTCCTGTGATTGTTGGTAAGAATCATCTTGAGGTTAGGTGATTGTCTATAGGAGACTATGGGTCTGTCTCCCAGAGCCTCTTGGAGTTTGGTATCCTGTTCCAGTATAGACTGTAGTTTATTGATAATGTGTTGGGCAGGTTTAAGTTGGGGGTTGTAGGTGATGACAAGTGGTGTTCTATTGTTGGTTTTCTTGGGTCTGTCTTGAAGTAGATGGTTTCTAGGTATTCGTCTGGCTCTTTCAATTTGCTTTTTTATTTCTCCGGGTGGGTAGTTGAGGTTTATAAATGCTTAGTAGAGATCCTAAAGCTTCTGGTCTCTGTCAGTGGGATTAGAGCAGATGCGGTTGTATCGAAGGGCTTGGCTATAGATGATGGATCGTATGGTGTGTTCTGGATGGGACCTGGAAGCATGTAGGTAACTGTATGAGTCAGTGGGTTTTCTGTAGAGAGTGGTGTCTAATTTTCCATTGTTGATCTGTACTGTGGTGTCCAGGAAATGGATCTCTCGTGTAGAATGGTCCAGGCTGAGGTTGATGGTGGGGTGTAGGTTATTGAAATCTCTGTGGAATGTCTCTATGTCAGGCATGTGCTCTAGCCACTGGACTAAAGGTTAAAAGGGAGACAGTATTACTCTCTCCTCTTCTGGCTGTTTTGAGTCTGGTCCTTTATTCCATTTTATTTAAAAAACAAATCAACCATGAAATAAAAGAAACTACCAGTAAACTGAAAAATCAGCTATTCACCCAGTTCTAGCCAGGACACAGCTTAGACAGTTGTTTTCATTTAAATTCACATTGGAAAGCAAATTTTTGGACTTTACTCTAGACCTGTATTTTGTCAGCTGACAAATTAAAACAAACAAACTTAGGAAAGATCCTGTCTCCAAGTCCAGTGCTCAGAATATTGATGAGCAGTTTATTATTTCCATTAAGCAAGATTAAATTGCCATGCTAGTCACCCTGTATTTTAAAATGCTACTACAGAATGTACACTCTTACTGTATTTCTCTTTTTGTCTGTTGAATTTGATCATAAGGGGTATGTCTAGACTGCATCCCTCTGTCGGCAGAGGGATGGAGATTAGGCGGGTCGACATTGCAAATGAAGCGGGGATTTAGCTATCCCGTGCCTAATTTGCATAAAAATGGCCGCTGTTTTTGCCGACTCAGCACTTTGTTGGCAAAAAGCGGCAATCTAGAGGGGGATCTGTTGAGAAAAAAAGCCTTTTTCAACAGACCCCTTATGCCTCCTGCAAGGATTTTATAAATCTTCATATGCTGTCGTTTTCACTAACTGAAACATCTGCCATTCCAAAATGAACATAGAGAGGGGTCCAAGTGAATGAGATTCAAGTAGATGAGTAGTAAAATATACAGAAAAACTTTAAAATTTCTCTTAGAAAATCCTGATTCTGTCAATTTTGTAAGCAAAGCCACCCAAAATATATTCTAGATTCTACATTAAAAAATAATTGTAAGTGTCTTGATTACAACTCTTTCCTGATTCATGCTCAGTTTTTCTCCCTAGGACCTTTCTGAAGAAGCAAACTTATCAACCAAAAGATGGTAGCAATGTGACCTGGAGTGATAAAGCCCTAGTGAGGTGCAGTATTTGGAACCTTAAGCCATGTCATAGTATCTAATGCTTCATCTGAAGAAGTGGGTTGTGCCCACCAAAGCTCATGATACCATCTACATTTTTGTTAGTCTCTAAGGTGCTGCAGGACTATTGGTTGTTTTTTATGTTTTTTTCAATTACAGACTAACACGACTACCCCTTTGAAACTTAATGCTGCTTCTGTTTATGTTGCAGTACCCAGAATTTGCTAAACATTCCAGGCCACCTCAGACAGGGGCTGCTGCCCACCTCCCTCTGCCTCTGACAGAGGTAGCAGCGATGGGGGGATGGGTGGCACCATGGAGCCGGTGCTGGGGGCAACCAGCATTTGAGCCAGCTCCCCCTGTCACCAGCTTCTGCTTCCCTTCTCCTTATTGCCTCTGATATAGCAAGGGAGGGAAATGTGAGTAGTCAACTTGACTATCCGATAAGCATAGATATGAGGCCAGTCACAAAATAGAGTCCTCCCCCGGGGTGAGAAGGGTGGGATACCTTGTTTTACTCTAGCATCTGAGAATCCCAAACCATTTACAAGCCCCATTGATGATGTAGCCCTTCTGTAAGACAAGCCAGCACTATTTTCCCTGTTTGGAGAGCCTGAGGTACAGATTTTCAGATTTTAAGTGTGTCCTTTAATTTTGGGTGCCCAACATTAACCTTCTTGGGCCTGACTTTGAGATGCTAAGCCACTCACAACTTCCACTGAAGTCAAAGAGGGCTGCAGTTGTCTTGCTTGGCATAAATTAGACTCTCTTTTGAAAATGTGCCCTGAGTCATTTGCCCAAAATCACATTGGGATTCTGAGCAGAGCTGGCAGGATCCCAGCTCTTTTAGCTTCTAGTCTCATGCCTGATCAACACTACCCATCTTTCCTGACCATAGCCTGCTGACAGATGAACATTCAGATTCTAACACCTCATTTTTAGAAGCAGAAGCAGAAAGGGAAATGAGTCTCTTAGGGCATGGTCCTATCACAGTGACACAAAAATTCATTAGTCAATCCTAGCCCCTTGTCATTATGAGCAAAGCTGGATGACTGGAGACAATAAGATGAGATGTACAGGCATACTAGTTGAAAACACCATGCGTGTCTGTCTTATTTCCAGATTGGAGACTTGGAGAAGAAAAGAAAATGAAAGGACTGAACATGCAAGAAAGAAGCGAGCAATACTTGAGCTTCAGAAACTGCAGCATCTCCAGTTTCCAACAAGTCACTGGTGCTGTACTCAACCAATCACTTCCCAGCAATGTAAGGCTCTTTATTCCCAATATTATGTAATATTTATACATGGGACAAAGGATAAGTAGGGGAAAAATTTGTTAGTAAGGAGAAATCAGCCCCCCAGATATACCTGTTTTCACTGGTATGTCTCTGATTGAAACAGATAGGGTTAGGCATCATATTTATGGCTTGATCCAATTGTATTCTTAGAGTCAGAGCATGACCCAAGAAAACATGCTAGGAGAGCAGGGGTGGCATTTTTTTAAGCCTGCACCAAAATTTTCATTCCAAGTGTTGAATTTGTAAAATGACTGCTGGGACCTAGCAGAAAGTTCTATGTAAGGCTGAAGTCCCCAGTGTTATTGAGCACAGCCAGCCCTATGTTCACTTTTATAACAGTCATTTGGATGAGTAAGAAGGTTTAAAATATAGCATGGTGTCCATTCTGGGATACTTGTTGCTAGGAAGCACAGAAAGAGTTTATAGGAAAAGGATAATGTTGGTGTGCTTTATCATAGTGGTAGACACCCACATGCAACTTCCCTCTATGCTTCTCCTGCTTTCTCTTTTTATAGTCTTCCTTCTACCTCCTCAGCCACTCATCTTGCAGCTTTTCCCTTTCTCCACCATTGACCTGATTCCTTCCATTTGAAAATTCTCCGGATCCACTTCCTACTTTAAAGAAGAACTTGAAACCCAACGGCCTCTGTGCTAGGCCCAGCATAGATCTCTTTTGTTCAGCCCTTGCATTGGTGTGCAGTGGAGTCTGGGCACTGTGTATTTGAGTCTTGAGTGATTTGAAGTAACCCCAGTCTCCATTGAACATCTAAGACTGCAAATTTTAACAAGGAGAGATATTGGTTAGGCCACAAACAGAGGCAAGAGGACCCTGGATTTGTTTATTATGGAAGGAAAACAGTGCAAGAGAAGGGGGTTGCTTTCGAGACTTGGGTAGCAGGTAGATTGCATTGTGCATTTGAATCAGAAGTTCCTGTTTGAACCAATCTCTGCTATTTACTTTGTGCCTTTCAGGTTCAGAAATCATACTGACTCTTTTCTAGAGAGACATGAAGATAACTTCTGTATACAAAAAATATTTCTATTTCTTTCTGTATTCCTTGTCTTGTCTTACTTCTTTCAAACTGTATCACTTCTTGTGATCACCTTCAAAAATATGTATATCTCCAGGCACAGAAATAAAGCTTTTGCCATTCCACCCATTTTCCCCAGTGTTATGGGTGGAGCAGAAATACAGTTAGGCTCTGTCTACACTACAGGGTTCTTGCACAAAAACCCGTGGGGCGTCCACACCTCAAGCGTGTTTTTGCTCCAGAAAATCTACAGTCAATCGACAGAACAGAGGGCTTTTTGCAGTGTAGGAATACCTCCTTCTATGAAGTATGACATCCTTTTGCGCAAGAGTTCTTGTGCAAAAAGGTGTGTGTGGACGCTCATCGGGGTTTCTTGCACAAAAAGAGCCTATCACAAAAAGCGCAGGTGCTCTGATGGCCATTCTGTGAATGGCTATCAGAACTTTCTTCCACAAGAGTGTCCATGCAGTGTGGAAGCTCTCTTGCGCAAAAGATCTCTTCCGCAAAAGGGTTCTTGCACAAAACCCCTGCAGTGTAGACAAAGCCTTAGTGCTGCAGTGTAGACGTAGCTTATTTCGGAATACCTATGGTATCCCAAAATAGCTATTCCACATCTTTTCAGTGCGCCCATTATTTTGAAATATAACACGCTCACTATTCCAATGTCCCTGTAAACCTCATCCCATGAGGAGTAAGGGACGTTTTGAAACAGCGATTTGTTTCGAAATAAGTGCTGTGTAGACAGCACCAAATTTCAAAATAAGCTATTTTGAAATTGACTCAAAATAAGCTATGCAAATTGTGTAGGTCAAATTGCGTAACTTATTTCAAGTTATGGATGCAGTGCAGACACACCCTTATACATAGATACACACCCTTTTTTATAGTATTTTAGTTATTTTTATTACTGTACAGGCTGACAACACAGCTCATTACTAAGGAAAATAATGGTTTTCTCTCCTTCTGTGGTGAAAAGTAAGTCCTAAAATAATTTTTGTGTGTGATGAGTGTCTGATTCAGACATTTGATGCAGCAGCTCCTGCCTTGGCCAGTTGATTTATTGTCTAGACTGCTTTAATACATGCCATTTAGTAGATGTATTGGTGAAAGATTGGCACAGATTTCCCTACCATAAAGATACCTTAACAATAAAAATATACACTTTGGAGTCTATAAATGATGTCAGTTGTCCTGAAACAAAGATTGCACACAATTGCCAGCACAGAGTTCTGGATTCCTTATCCCAAGTATTTTGCATTTGCAAGGTCCCTTGTCACAAGCAGATAGTATTATCCTTCCACTCTGCTTTGTTGTTAGGTTCAATCAGTGTATTAAAAATACAAGAAAATTCTGCTCTGTCAAGTGCTCCAAGGACTGTTAAATTCTGTAGTTTAATAATCTACCTATTCATATGAAAACACCCAGCAGCAGGCAGAGGAGAGAGCAATGTGTTGGCCAACCAAATCACAGCTGGTATATCTCATTTGACGTCTGCCAGCCTTTGTGCTGCCACTTTAAAGGATTAAGCTAAATCTTCTGTATGCACTGCTCAGGTCACCTTGTTCCAGAACAGTTTCACCAATAGTCTATATTTTTTTCCTTCCTTGTCTTCATCCCCTGTGGTTTTGGCATAGAAATAGTAGTCGTATAAATATAATAGACCTTCCCAAATGACATGCAAACCCATGTTAAACTTGCCTGGTTCTGTTACCTGCTTAAAATTCAGGCCAGAATCATGGAAAAAAAAGTTTAATTTAGAATTCATAAATCTTGTGAACAAACCTGGGGTGATTTATGGTTGCACATCAAAACCAGGTAGAATTTGCAGTTTTGCCTGGTTTCAGTATGGGAATATGTTAAATTGAGTTTTACTATAATCTTTTGGCTTTCTTGGAAACTCCAAACTCAACTCTAAATCTGGGGAATGGGAACAATTGTTAAACCCATATGGATTAAATGTTGAGTGAGTTTTTGCAGAATGAAACCACTGAGTTTTACTGTGCTCCTTTCTCTTACCTAATCTGTGCTATATAAAAACCAAATCATGGAATTAGAAGTAAATTTCCACTACTGCCCAAAAGCTCATTGCCTTGGTTTTGGTAAAAGTATCTCTTCCAAGGGTAGCTTTAAATATGTGAGTTATGCTTAAATTCTGCTTTTAGAATGGAGCAAATCCTGGCAGAGCTGAAGTTTTGTCTGTAGTTCTGTAATTATTGTACTAAGCATGGGTTTGGATCTTTTATTGCTTGCGTGTCACAGCACTTTTTATGTTACCACTGGTGGATGAATCAGTAGAATAAATTTTCTAGATTAACTGCTAGAGGACAGGAAAAACCTTGGTTTGTTGCTTTTATATATACTGTATACAATTATCCTCTATTTCTACATTATTGGCTTTTTATAATTATTTTTTAGTTCTGCCACAGATGTGCATGGTGCTTTACAGTTAAATGAAGCAGCTTCTTATTCTGACTACTTCACAGTCTAAAGTCCACATCCTGCAAATCCTTTCATACATGAGTAGTTCCACTGGAGTGAACAGAGCTATTCACATAAACACAGATTTTTCAAATGTATTTAGGCATTGCTGTGCTCATCGCCTTACTCATATTCAAAAGAGATTTAGGCACTTATAGGCCATTTGATGGGATTTAGGCTCTGAAGCAACTAATATCTCTTTTGAAAATAGGACTTAGGCTCCTAAATCAGTTAGGCATTGCAACACTGAGTGCAGCAATGTCTGAATACCTTTGAAAAATCAGGATCATAAAGACTACTAATCAGAGTGAGGCTTTTGTAGGATCAAAGACTGTAAATTACAGATTTAAAAAATCAACAAAACATTGACTGACGCACCCGTAAACCCATAATTACTTGTCTGATGCATGTCCAAAAATAATCCAATTACAATTATATAACAATAAAAAATTTTATTCCCAAAGGGAAAGAACAGTCAGACTTTCAACATGGCAGATGTTTTGGTCCATAGACATCCTTTGTGCTCTCCGAATTTAATAGTTAAAGTAACATAGTCAACATAAAAATCCTTTATTTGCATTCTCTATATGTGGTAAATTGCACCACATTAGGTTATTAAAAGGAAGGGATTTTTAAAATCAAATTTGCTTTGAACCATTTATGCTGCTTACTTCTTGGCATTCAACTCAGTACGAAGTATGAAACTAGGTTAGTCAGTTTCATTCTAGTCTGTTCAGGATGGTGAGGCTTTAGACCAAGTACTGTGTCCAGTTCTGGGCACCACACTTCAGCAAAGATATGGACAGACCTGACAGAGTCCAGAGGACAGCAACAAAAATGCTAAAAGATTTAGAAAACTTGACCTATGAAGAAAGGTTAAAAAAACTGGGCATGCTTAATCTTGAGAAAAGAAGACTGAAGGGAGCACCTAATATTAGGGCTTCAAATATTTTCAGGTCTGTTATAAAGGAAGGTGATCAGTCATCCACTGAAGTTAGGATAAAACAATGGTCTAAATCTGAAGCAAAGGAGATTTAGGTTAGACAGTAAAAAGCAGGGCTGGCTCTAGGCACCAGCAAATCAGGCAGGTGCTTGGGGTGGCACTTTGCCAGGGGCAGAATTTCAAGTAAGCAGCTGGTGCCGACCCTGGCAACACCTAGCCCCACCCCTCCGATTTAAAGGGCCGCAGCCAGGAAACACTGGGAAATGCCGCGGCTGTGTGCAGCCAGCTGGCAGCACCAATGTGCCCCGGAGCCTACTGGCCACCCCGTCTCCTCTCCTGCTGCTCCTCCCTGCCCCCGTCAACGCCTAGTCCCTGCCCTACCCCGCTGATTTAAAGAGCTGCGGCCCAATGTGCACCGGAGCCTGCTGGCCGCCCCCGTCTCCTCTCTGTCCTGCTCTTCCTCACCCCCGGCAACACCTAGCCCCGCCCTGTCAATTTAAAGGGCCACAGCCCGTGGTCCAATGCGCCCTGGAGCCTGCTAGCCTCCCCTGTCTCCTCTCCTGCTCCTCCCCTCCCCTGCCAATGCCTAGCCCTGCCCTGCCCAGCCCTGCCGATTTAAAGGAGACACAGGAGACGGTGCGGCTGTGCAGCCAGCACTGGCACCATGTGCGCCTGGCCCCGGAGCCTGCTGGCCAGCCCTGTCTCCTAGACCTGAGTCCTGCTCCTCCCCGGCGGCTGCTGCCTCCGAGAGCCTCTCCACTCCAAGCCATCAGCCACCCCTCCGCCTACATCGTATGGAAATCCCAGGTAAGATGCCCCCTTTCCGCCTAGGCTTGCCATGTGTCCGGTATTTTCGCTTCCTGTCTCATAAAAAAATCAGAAAATACTGAATACCTGGCAAACCTACAAACACTCAGCCTGCTGGCCCAGCCCCTGGCCTCTCCCTCCAAGCCCCAGCCCCCGACATCCTCAGACCCACGGACCCTTTGAAGTCTGTTCCTAATATATTTTTCTTGTTCATGTTTGTAGTAGAAGTAGAACCAAACAAGGATCCAGAACACACACACTCAGAGAGAAACTATTAACTGTTCTACACTCTTCAAAGAACCACACATGCTGTTTCATAGATATTTCTTTAAAGAATTAAATTTCGTTGATCTGGGTAAACTTTTGTGTTTGATGTCTCTAAGGCAAGCTTCATTTCATATATAGTTGTATTGGGCACATACAACTCTCCACTCCCTCTAACACCTCAGAAACTTGAATATATAATGGCTACTAACAAGATGGGCACACAAAAATAATGTGCACATGCACACCCACCAATCTCAGTTTATCTGATGACATAGATATGTTAGAGCCACAGCATTCCAAAACAAATCTAGTTTAACAATACAACTATTTATCGGTGTAGTTTAGATGTCTTATGTGCTATATTTATCAAAATTGTTTGAGAAGTATGTTTAAACAGAGTGGTGTTGTTAGCTGATTGTAATTGGTTTGAAGATTGATTAAGTATAGCCATAAACTACTTGAGTTTTAGATGTGGCACAAGTTCTCCCTTCTATTTTTGGTACTTAGTTAAGGAAATATAAACTATTTGTGTTAATAGTTTTTCATGCATTCAAACCACAATTAAAAAGTAGCCTATTTCTATAAGAACAATTAAGTAGAGATTTAAGGTACATTTCCCACTCTTGAAAAAGAGTTTTGTGTGAGCTGGAAATCTCGTCTCTGTCACCAAAACAAAGCAAAAAAATTGCGAAGTGCAAACATGTAAAAGCCAGCAAAAAAGGGGGTGAGCGGGGCAGCCAAAAAATGTTTTGCTTGAGTCAGCAAAAAGCCTAGAGCCGGCCCTGGTAAGAAGCACTTTTTAACAGGGCAGTTAAAAGCTAGTGTGATTTCCATGGAAGATTGTGGAATTCCCATGACTGAAGTTTTAAAAAAGAGATTGGATAAACATCTGTCACTCAGAGAAGGCCTAGATTTACTTGGTCCTGACACAATGCAAGCATCTAGACTTGATGATTTCTCAAGATCCCTCCAGCTCTACATTTCTACAATTCTGTGATTCTGTGAACATTATTATCATGAATACTCACAGAAAGTGTATTTGAATTGTGCACATTGAAATTCATATTGTTTTAACTCCTCACCAGAGCCCTGGTGTAGAGATAATTGAAAGATCTGACTTCTCTCTTTGAAAATAATTGAATGCAAGCATCTGCACTTAGTCTAGGTAAACAACTGTAGTGTAAATTACAAATCAATTAATGCAATATGCCTAGTATATTTTATTTTGTCTGTCTCACTGTTTGACACAATAGTTAGGGTTCCCCAAACTCATGGCCAGATTCCTGGCACAGAGGCAATTCCATGAGCCATACTGTGAGCTAACTGCCTCTTTCAGAACTAAAATCACAGACTCAATTACTCTGTGTGAGTGTAATAAGAACAATACATTAATATACCCTCTGAACCCATCCAATAACTTTTACAGTAGCCTGTGTTTTCTAGGAATAACACCTTGGGCAAGATCTGGCTGATCTGGAAGAGAAAAAGTTTAATGCTCCCAAAATTTCCCCAATCCTGTTTATCTGCTCCAAAACCCTGATGGCTTCCTCAGTCTTTCTCCTCCTTATAGGAATTATAACTTAGCAACAGAAATAAAGCAATGGGACTTTTGTGACTCTGGGACTTTTGTGACCAATCATTGCTCAATGTAATATTACGTCAGTGAACTGTTTGCAATCAGTCCATAGAAAACAACACCACAACAAAATTTGTGGAGTAAATATAAATGTGAGGGAATGGTGATCGGCTTATAAATTTTTCGTAAGCAGAAAAAGAAGTTACATGTATCAAGTAAATTATTCCCAAGGAATCATTCACTCAGTTCTATCCACCATGTCATCGGGGATATAATTAATCAGAAAAATTAATTTTTTAAATACATATCACTAATATTAGATTCTATAAATCCCTTCTTGGGCCTAAGACCATGAGAGTACTCCTTAATAACCTAGCCAAACAGTCCTATATAGAAAGTCTGTTTTAATCAACAGCCTAATGACATCAAGAGAAAATATGTACCCTGCACTGAAGATTTAGTTGTGATTGTGACCTCAAGTATATATCTTCTGATGTAATTTCTCAGGCTTTTGACTGATTGGCTGCCATGTATTAAATAAACCCTGTAAATGGATTAGCTGTAACATTACTTTAGTCCACCAATATGGGAAGGAATTTTTGCCAAACCATCAGTGCTGTGGGGATGGCAGCTGTTTTGCATCAGCCAAAAAAAGTTTGGCTGAAGCAGAGTAGGTTTGTTTGGATTCTTGGGGCACATTTTAGACTTGGTTTGTAGCTCTTTGGGATGATTGTTTTGCTGGTTTTACCTCTCTTATTCCATGACTATTGTCAAAGAGGAAAGCACATACTTTTAGTGCAAAATAATGTTTTCCTTAACCTAGGAATGTAAAGTATCTATGGCATCATCTATGTGTAGAGCCAATGGACTCAGGTCATTGGCAGGAGAGAGTGAACCTGTGACCTAAGGAACTAAAAGCCACGAACCTCTACTACATGAGCTAAAAGCTAACTAGCTCTCAGCTAAGTCTGTAGAGCTGATGTCACTCTCCTTTGTCAGTGATCTCCGTGCCTGTGGGTTATATGTGCTAGAAATGTCCTTACTGATCAGTGGTGGCCCATCAATACAGGCGACCTAGGCAGTTGCCTAGGGCACCAAGATAAATGGCCGATGAGGGCTTTGGAGGTGGGGGCACCGATCGTGCGCCGATCGCGTGTTTCGCCTAGGGTGCCAGTTGCCGGTCCCAAAGGGCAGTGCTCTGGGCAGCATTACAGGACAATGTGATAAAAACACCCGAGTCAGACTTGTTCTTGTTTATTTGTGCCAGCACCTGTGGTGAAATGTTACCTATAGGGACTATCAGGTACATAGGCATAGATCTACGGGTACTGCCACACTCCCCGGCTTGAAGTGATTCATGTATATCCATTACAGTCAAGTTCAATGGCTCTCAGCAACCCCACTGTACCAATTGATCCAGCATCCTGGAATGTCTAATAGCATTTCTATTGCAGGCAGGATCTGTATGAGAGAAAACCCAATGTGTCTTCCATTGTGAAACCCTCCACTTCAAATTCTTTGTCAGCCCTGCTCTCTAATTGTCAGGTAAATGGACTTCTGTCATAGAAGACAGAGTACCACTATCCCACAATTTCCTTTAGTCTATTGCGGTTTGCACTTTTCAAGGAAATCATTTCAATCCGTTTTGGTCTAAGGCGAGATCAGTCTCCAAATATTCAGTTTATACGCTCCAGGTAAAGATGTATCAAACCAACCTCACATTCTTCCTTAACTAAGATAGTATTAAAGTATAGAGAACAGAGCCTTTAAGACTGGTTTTTAGGTTAAGAATGTGTGTTTGAGTAAACACACCATTTTAATTCCCCAAAAAGAATAGGCCAAATGAAGAAGTGCTAAGATTTATCCTTTACTTTGAAAGGTATTTCAGATACCCTGGTGATGTGTTTTGCCTGAGAATCTATATGGAACAGAATAGAGAGACTAGAATAGATAATTTGGGTTACATATCAGAAAGTGAGTCCAAATATGTTTAAGTTGGTTTAACATAAATAGCAAGGAGCCAGAAGATGCTGTTACTTTAATTCTCACCTTTATTACACCTTCTAGAAGATGGTTTTCCTATTACACTCCTCTCTTCTGGTCTCTTCTTCTGTGACACCAACTTGGGTTCCATTAAATTCAATTACATTTTTCCTGACATGTTATGTATATTCCTTTATACATCACCTCAGAATCTGGCCCTCTAGTAAAACACTGCATGTAAGCAGTATTTATGAATAAATATAATGAGCTGTTCTGTACATAAGGGTATAGAGTGCTAGAAATGGGCTTAATAAACTGAATAAAAGAAACATGGTAAGAGAAAAGAATGCAATAAAATGCTGAGTTATTTAAAGTTTCCCCAATTGCTTGGAGCTTATTAGCATCTTTCTCACTCCCAGGCATACAGACCCATGCAAGTGAAATACAGTAGTTTAGATATCTGTCTGAATTCATTTCTGTAGATAAAGATGCATGAAGATCCTTCTAGCTTTCTCTTCCCATTCTCTAGATCCAAATATGCAGATTTCTGAAAACCAATCTGAGATGGAGTTTGCTGCTTGGATGCAGCCTCACAGGAAGTCTCAGGTCCTTTCCTATCCCAGCACTGTGATGGAGGAGGCCCCCATCAACTTTTCCAGGGAGTTTCCTTACAGGTAAACAGAACATTCAGTACACTTGGTGAAATCTGGGTTCTGTGCCTCTTCCTAGATCCAAATATGCAGATTTCTGAAAACCAATCTGAGATGGAGTTTGCTGCTTGGATGCAGCCTCACAGGAAGTCTCAGGTCCTTTCCTATCCCAGCACTGTGATGGAGGAGGCCCCCATCAACTTTTCCAGGGAGTTTCCTTACAGGTAAACAGAACATTCAGTACACTTGGTGAAATCTGGGTTCTGTGCCTCTTC